TGGTGTCGGATGGCACTAGCGTCCGCAACGATGATGTGCGTAGGCGAGTACTAGGTAATGATAATCATGCTAGCTCCCTAGAACAACAGATAGCACTGAATAAGTTGCGTTGGCTCGGGCACGTGCTACGTATGCCTGGTCACCGCTTACCTAGGGGGGTGTTGTTCAGTCTAGAGTGGCGCAATGCTCGATGTGGATAGAAGTTGACTTGGCAGCGGGAAATGAAGTCACTGACGACCAAACTGGGTGCCGTTGGTCCGTCTCACCTCCCTGGGCTGGAGTCCACGTGACTCGCCTTGTGCTTGGCTCGAGACTTTACAGGACATGGCTCGCGGCCGACACCAGTGGCGCGTCTGCTGCCGTCTCCTAATTGGATTGCCTGTTTAAAGTGTGTTTGGTGCTGAGTTATCTGCTGGGTAATGGCTGATTATGACGCGTGGCAGTGAAAGCCGCAAGGAAGCTGTCTCGCCGATGCCGCCTTATCTTTGCACGATAGCCAGCTGTTTGTGACTGTATGTTGTTAACACAAGGTGTAGGCGCCTTGACTCTGAATGTTTGCTTAGGGCATTAAGGTTTTCAGGTAAGTCCCTCTTCTCTCCCTCTTCTTAATCTTTATTCCATGTCATCATGGTTGTATAACAGTGAAGCATCAGTTCAAATGTCTGATGTACTGCTGTTGATGATGATGATGGTTTCAAATATCAACTCCGTATACTTTCTCTCGACTTCACAATGGCCGGGGAGAAGTTCAGCCTCAGGCCACCGTATTCGGGGTAAGTTGAAATCGCCAATGAGTAGGAACAGCGGACGACTCATGTGCTTGCGGACATGCGGCAACCAGTCCAAGCAGCGGCGCAGTGGACTGTGATATATCACGCCTACGAGCATCTCGCAGCGTCCGAGGCGGATCGAACACCTTAACTGCTCACATAGACTATCAGCACTTCGGTAGGCGCTCACTAGTCTCCCACGCAAAGAAGACTATGTAAAGCATAACGCCACCGCGATTATTTGATGGTCTATCACAGCAGAAGCATGCATAGCCGCTGATTTCCACTTCTTGGGCGGTTACGTGGGAGTTTAACCATGTCTCAGCAAGGCCTAATACGTCTGGTCGCTGAGGGGTTACAGCTCATCGCGCTTGTTCATCAGACTGCAGACGTTATTAAAAGCTACGCGCAGGCCGCGGTAGGAACCGCTGGGCGCGCCTGAAGCATCAGAAACCTGTTGGTCCGGATTCGCGGAGGAATCCGGGTAACTACCCGAAAATTTACAATACGGAGATTTGTTTTTCGATCGTCCGTGCGTCGCTTTAGTTCAATCATCGCAGACTTGAGTTTCACTCTGTCTGTTAGGCCTAAGTCAGCGCGCACGTGGATCTTTAGACCATTCATCCTATTAAGGCGGGACAATATTAAGTTAAGACTTGCCTCTTCGACAATAGTCCCCCTCATGGGTCGACTTTTGCCCTCGGTTCTCTTTCCTAAACGAGCGATCTGTTTCAAGTTGAGCCTGCCCTCATCCACGTCGAGCAGTCTATCAATCAGAGATTGCAAAAACTCGACATCATGTTCATAGCGCACCTGAGGATTGGAATCACATGATTCAGGTGCGTGAAATACCATGAGGCTACGGCGCCTCAGGTCGCTGGACATTGTTCTTGGTTGCTTTGGTATTTGCATTTTCCATTCGTTATCACTAATTTGCTTATTGCAAATTAGAGCTTTAGTGTCAACTGAGTCGGCCGGCGGCCGAGTGGTCTGCACGTTTGCTTTGCAACCATAAGGTCACCTGTTCGAATCCGCGTAGGAGTGGGCGTCCTCGCGGTATACACAGCCCGCGCGCGACTGGTGGTGGTCGCGCGGCAGCGAAGCGCCGTTACGGCGTACAGCTGACACATTATTATTATTTATTAGTGTCAACTGAAGAAATCGTAGGTCTTGAAGGCGAGCCTGCCGGAACGCTAGAACTTTGCTCCAGGGATAGATTCGCTGTTGTACTAATCGCTGGCTGTTTCTCCGATTGTGGTGTAGGACAAATCGAGCTGCGCGTTTTAGCGCACTTCGCTCTACTGATCCGCTTGTTAGGCTTTTCGACTCCATTCTGCCCAAGTTTAAACTGATATTGCTTACATATGGTCATCAAAAAATCGTGCTGAATCCCTTGAATTACGCGGAATTGGTCCAATGCACGAAATATGAAACTTTACGCTGCATAAACTGTAATCGCATTTGCGCGATGTCCAACGAGTTTGGAGCAAATACCACAAGGTGACTGCTTTGCCATTTCAAAAATAGATACCGATCGATACGAATAAATCAGCGTATGTAGAAGCACAGAAGTTATAATAAACTAGTACAGGTAGTTATGGTAAACTAAATTTCAATAACTAGTGAGTGAATTGCACCAGTATTTATAGCACAAAACGACTTTAACAATGAAAAGGACGAGATAAACTGACCTTACGAGGACACGAGCAAAATACGACCAGGACGGACGAGAATCAAGGCAGACTAGTACGACAGAATTACTGCCGAAAAAGGTTTAAAATATGTTGCTGGATAATTCAGAATCACAAATAATGCCGAATTAAACAATTGAAGACAAACAATTACGCTATATAACAGAAAACTTAATGACTCATCAGGTGGACACTTTCGAAAGCATTTTCGCTAGCTTCTTCACCTGGGGCTCTTCCTACCTCGGTAACGCACGCTGTTTCACTGCCCTTTATTTTCATTTCTCCTTAGATACTGAGCTCCGAAACGCAATCACATCTGTTAATCGTTTTCTAGCTGTTGATCTGGATTCCATCTCACCCGCACTGTTGAAAGCTGGTTTTGAGTTCCTTCGCAACACACTGACCTCCCTGTTCCAACAGGTCTGGATGGGAGCATCTTAGTCAACTGGATTTTATCCATCATTGCCAGTTGTGACAAAATAACTGGTCCCAATTCTCTTTCTTTGCCTCACTGCGGTACGGGAATACAGGAGTAGGGAAGAGCAGACAGGTTTCCGCGCAGGACAGGACTGTATGGACCACATATTCACTCTTCGGCGTTACACATGTGCCCCTAGGCTTCGTAAGTGCGTTTGGCGCGGTCGATCGATCTATTCTCTTCGAATCGATTGTGCGGAAAGATGTTCCCATGAGATATGTGAAAGTCTTACGTGCTCCGTACTCGAACACCAGAGGTCGCGTCATGACCTACGGTGACTTGTCGGATACCTTTGCGACGACAAGTAGTGTTCGTCAGGGTTGTCCCTTGTAGAACCTAACGGTGCGGTCGTTGAGGTGTTGACTGATGGAAAACCAGTTGATCTTGATTATGAGGACGATATTGTCTTGCAATTTAGTGATGTTGATGTAGCCTAGATACCCGTGGACAAACTGGATTATTCCCGTCATATGGCATACGCATTGCACCTTCAAAATGCAACGTGTTGTTGCATGATCATCAGCCACTTGATGATCCATTGCCTCTTGATAGCGAGGAACTCGAGGTATTTGATCATTCCACTTACCTTGGTAGCTGCACTAGCAATGATGGACGCATAAGAACTGAAGTCAGTTCAAGTATTATAAACGGTAAGACAATGCGTTCCTTAGTTTGCGGCATCTGTGGCTTCGGAAGTGATTTCCGTGGGTCTAATAATCCATGTATACAAGGCAACAGTGAGGGGTGTCCTATTCTATTGGAGTGAGAATAGGCCGTTTCAACCTGAGAATCTGTGGCGCCTTCAGGTCTTTGATCATCGTTGCCTGCGAAGCATCGCTTGTGTCGGATGGCACCAGTGTGTCCGTAACGATGATATGCATAGGCGAGTGCTACGCAGTGATAATCATGCTAGTTTCCTAGAACAACGGATAACACTGAATAAGTTGTGTTGACTTGGGTGCGTATTACGTATGCCTTGTCACTGCTTAACGAAGAGGGCCTTGCTTTGTGGTGACGCATAGCTCCCGGTGGGCAAAAGTTAACTTAGTATCGGGAAGTGAACTTACTGCCTACAAAACTGGGTCCGTTGGCAGGCCTCGCCTTCCAGGCTGAAGTCCATGTGACCCACCTTGTGGTTGGCTCAAGATGTAACAGGACGTGGCTGGCAGTGGGGACCAGTGGAGCGTCTGCATTTTCGTCGTGGCCGGATTGCCTTTTAAAAGTGTATTTGGTGATGAGTTATCTGCCGGTTAACGATTAATTATGACTCGGAGCTGTGAAAACCGCAAGGAAGCTGTCTCGACGAGGCCACCTTATCTTTGCACGATAGCTAACTGTTTGTGAATGTATACTGTTGGTACTGATGTCTGTTGACACTAGGTGCAGGCGCCTTGACCCTGAATGTTACTTTAGGACATTAAGGTTTTGCGCTAGGTCCCCCTTCTCCTCCACGTATTACCCTTTTCCCCTAGTTCATTGAGATTGGAGTCAGTGAACCATCATTTCAGACGGCTGTCGTACTACTGGTTTTTATGATGTCTGAATTTACATACGTATATTACCTACCTTTCGGCTTATCTCCATGTTTCGACCAGTATTTCCCATTAATTGGAACAAATAAAACAACAAAATTGGTTCTTCAGTTTCTGTCAGTTCAACAAGTACCATTATGAAAAGGGTTCTGCGTTGTGAAAGCAAAATTCAGCAGTTGCACAGACGCCTCACGTCGACTGACTCGGGCGATTGATTGCGGTTGAAAGTATAGCCGCCACGCGCCTTTTGGTCACTGACAGTCCAGGCGGCCCCTTACTAAGTTAATGGAAACAACAGGATTACTAGAAATAAGGCAGCGCTTACTCTGTTGGAAACGTGCACAGTACTACTTTTCTGATGTTTTACTTCACGGAATGACGTAAACGTTTTATTACGACACGTAAACATAAGTGCGGCAGGGTTTATGATTCTTTCAGCATTAACTACTTTGTGACAAGTTCATACAATCGGGAAGACAATTATTCAGTACAGATGTTACCAGCACATTCTTTATCATAAGCCACTTACCTGTTTTTAGTTGGTTTCCGAGTATCTGATGACCTCGCACCAATTCTTGCTTGGGGGTTCAACTTTGTTTCGCTGGCCTCAGTTGGGGATTCCGACTTGGTTGATGACAAGACCGGCGCTTTCAACTTTTCGTCCTCGTTCTGCCCCAGTCGCTCTTTGGATGTTTTTGAATTTGGGTCTCTGTAGATGTGTAGGAGATGTTCCCTTGTTCGCAGGAGAGTTGCTTTTAATTCCTCGCGCTCTTCACATTCTCGTTGTACCGTTGCTCGTAGCATCTCGATCTGTATGTGAAGTCAGAAACTGGTTTCATTATGACAGTTACGGAAAATATTCGTATGAATGCATACAGCGCAGCTCCATTGTGTAATTACAAAGTCATTGGCCTGTATTCACGAACATCTGGAACGCCGGGAGGATAGTAGTTAGGTTTGTAACGGATGGCACTGTGTAGATAAATTTTTTATACAACAGCAGGTGTTTTGAAACCTTCAGTGCCTCAGTGAGATTTATTACGAGCTCAACTCGACCACCGGCTCCACCATGAGCTCTACTTGCTTGCAAACCAACTGCCTTGTCCCATATTGCTTGCCTAACCTGAGGCTATTTTAGTGAAAACCCAGGGCTACCATACAGTAACATGAAAATTAGCATGAATAAACTTATAAAAACACTTAATTGAATTGGTGCTTTTCATGTTCTTAACAGGGGTCCTCGGGGTTGACCACATCAGCATGGGGTATCGTATAGGACAATCGAGAAGCTAGTGGCGCTTTTGCACTCGTTCCCTCAACTCTAAAAGTCCTATCTGGCTAGCCGAACAACCTCCACATAGTGCCAGCTGGATGGTTCGGCTTAACCCCTTTCCAGCGAATAGTTCGGCAGCAGCGTCCCAGGACGTGGTGCGTTTTCGCTTGGCGAAACTTTTCCCTATAAAAAGGCACCTAGGTCTGTTTAGCAACACTGCGATGTGGTGGATGTGAGTTGCCACCAAATAAAATCACTGCCTCTTCCCCTTCCGGAGGATCCCTACTTCACGAACACCATCCAATTCGAAGAGCTCCATTGATCCCTCCATACGATGGCGAACACAGCAAAGAAACTCACGAATTCATTCACAGTTCACAAGTTCACTCACCATGCCGAGTAACACATATGGTTGGCGGCATCCGGTTTCGGATTTGTCTGTTACTGTGGCCAGCCACAGGACGCCAACGCCTAGAGAAGGACTAATGTGAGTGAGTTACACCAATATTGATAGCACGAAACGACTCTAACGATGAAAAGAACGAGATAAACTGGTCTGACGAGGACGCGAGAGAAATACGACCAGGACGGACGAGAATCAAGGTAGACTAGAACGACAGGTTTAAAATATATTACTGGATAATTCAGAATCACAAATGATACCGAGTTAAACAACTGAAGACAAAAAAAGGTACGATATATGACAGAAAACCTGAACAAAGTGGCCTGGGTGCGGAACGATATATTTCGAACCGGCCGCCGTAGCCTTTTGTCTTTTCAAATGATTTTGTCTTTCTTCATTTTCAAATCCTTTTGCTGTTTTTCGGTGTTTCGTTCTGGCCAAAAGGAGATTGCTACTTACGGAAGAAAGGGAAGAAACCCAAGTCCCTCAGACACGCAGGTCAGTGAACTTGTTTGTTGGACCTAGTGGACTTTTGCGGTTCGCTTGTGAATGCGGTTAATCTGGGCATTGCATCATATGTCGGTGCCTGTGGAGAGACAGCTAATGTACCGTCAGGTTCGGCTGAAAGTGGCGGAACCTCAATGCTGTCGTTGGAATCGAAATGAGCGACGTTGAGCCGATAGTTTCTAACTGATTCGCGTCTGTCGTAACGAGTATGGAACTTAACGTGGTGCGACATTTTACGTACCTTGAGCTATACAGGGTGAGGCCCTAGTTCCCCTTTAGAGCTCCTCCTACCAGGTTTATCAATGGTTAAAGGTCAAACAAGCTCACTATTCTGATCCTCCAGTTTAGGTTTTGAAATGGAATGGCGCCCATTTTTGTAAAACCGCCTTGTTGCATTTCGTACAGGCTTTGGAGCCAAAGGCTTTGGTTGATGATCATAATTGTTCTGTCCAGTTATCAACGCCTTGGTAGTATATCAGTATACTTACAACCATGACTATTCCTAAATTTCGATCACATCGTGCATCAGCCGTCGCCCAGAATGTCAAGGGTCGCCTTGTCCGCCGCATACAGCAGTGCGGATAAGCAAAAACCTACTACTACTGGCGTCTCCATACTTTTTCCCACCTGTTTCTCTTACTCCCATCTCTACCCTCATTACTAATCTTACTTCTCTACTTCCCGGCCTAATTGACAGCAGCCGTAATGTCACTGGAATCGCGCCATTTGCAGCCATCTTCCTGCATTACCCAATGGACGCCAATCACCAACAGTTTCATATTTGGCCAAACTGCCCCGTTTCATTGGCGGGGTTCAACGTTTGCACTCTAAGACAAATAGATCAACAGGCTCCACTCGCACGCACGTTGGACACACTGGGTATTGACCTGGGTTACATATCCGAAACTAGGATCAATGTCCCTTACAGGGTTGTTGAATTGACTGAGCCCGGCTTATCCTCTCGCTATTGGTTGCACGAATCCGGAGACGCTGATGCAGCATTCAGCGGGTTAAGCTGGGGTAGGTATGGTTCTCAGCTAGAAGGCTAACTTGATTGGCTTTCGATGAACATCCGCTTGTGTACAGCACATCTGACGGCTTCAACTAAAGTTGATTTGCAAAGGAGCACTAGATGCTGTTTGTTTTTGATTTCCTTTTATGCATCCAGCGACCGTAGTTCCGATGCTGCCGAGGACACCTATGACGAATTGCTTAGGGCTGCCAATTCAGATGTCATGGTACTTGTAGTAGATATGAATATGCAAGTAGGTCGCCTGGGCTCCTCAGAAGTTCTCCTAGCTTGCGAGTATGGACTAAACTCCGATCGAATGGACAACGGCGAGCGTGTGCTGAAACTGTGGGCAGCGCATCGATTTTTTCTTAGTAAAATCGCTTTTAGATGCAGTGGGCACCGAAATGCCACTTGGTGTCCACCTATAGCTGGCAAGCGATGGACCCAAACTGGTCACTTTACCCTCAGTTACAGGCAGCATGGTCCCATCCTGGACTGTCGCTCCTTCTGGAGTACTTGCGTCGAATATGACAACGTCTTACTAAGCTATCACTTTTCCGTGAACTTTACCGGGAGGCGCACCAAGCGTCTCCTCCAATTGTTAACTGAGAAATCATCAGTGCTCGTTCAAGCAAACCTACCAGGATACACTGCCACCGAACTTTCGCTCCCTTGCCCTAAGGACACTGATCTTCAGTGGAACAAGATCTCAGCCGCCATGCACGACGCGGGAGCCTCTGCTTGTCGCACCACAACAGTCACTAGATATGCGAGAGGTCGGTGAACTTATTGGGATCCAGAAAAAACCTTGCTGGCTCTGAGCACAATGTGACCATACGGATTGTTAAGTGTAAACCAAAGCAGCGCCTGCATGCTGACTTTGTAACCTGGCGGACTAACAGGGCTCAAGGTATGGAGGTGGGAGCTGTAGGAAGTTACCGCAACTCTTCCATGGGGAGTATTGGGCCCCTGTTTGGTTGGGAAATATTGGTAAGCTACCAAACAAAGGCGCATGAACTGAACATTCAGTCAAAGCCTCCCAATAGACGCGATTCCCTAAATTCGCCCCACTGCCTTGCGCGTAGGTTATTTAGCCAAAGGCTCCGGATGGAGTCCCCTAAGTCAACTCCTTACTTCGGCTTGGGCAACCGGTTAGTATCACGCCCTCTCGCAAAACCATGGACCGTATTACAACTTGCTCATCAGCTGCTATTTCTGCTAGTCACTTTCATGCGACTTCATCACACGCCAATTGTTTGTTCGTTAACAATCCTCACTTTCCGTTACCCGATTCATGTGCTCAACTATCCAGCTGTGATTCAGGTTGCTCCGCAAACCAAGAAGTTCAACCTATGGCTCTCCTTCGTCCCCGATCCTCGTTCCGTCTGGCGTGCTTCAACGTTCGGACACTCATGCAGATTGGACAACAAGCCGGTCTAGCACGCACCCTAGATTCCATAGACGTTGATGTCTGCTGCCTTTCAGAAACCCGATTGCAAGATCCCAGCACTGTGCTTACATTGACATTCCCCACTGACCACGAAGCCAGATATTACCTGCGTCTTTCTGGAGATCCAGAAGCAGCCTCAGCGAGTCTGGCTGGTGTAGGTATAGTACTAAGTGACAAGGCCGAGGCGGCACTACTGGACTGGTTTCCAATTAACAGCCGACTATGTGCAGTTCGGCTTCGGGGTTCATGTAGAATCAACAGAGAGACACAACTTGTCTGTGATCTCCAACTGACTGCAGTGGCGACTCTGTCAAGGACGAATTCTACCGGGATCTACAACAGCTCTTGACTAATGCTAAAATGTCGGACGACGTTATCCTTGCTGGGAATTTTAATGCACGGGTTGGCCGCCTGTTACCATACAAACGCCACCTCTGTGGTCACCACGCGCTCGATGAGAACCGCTCTGATAACGGAGAGAGACTTCTCACATTGTGCGAAGAAAATCGTCTGTTTCTTTCGAGCACTAACTTCAGGCGTACGAAGAAGCGTTCCGCAACGTGGCGTCCCTCTTCTTCAACACAACCGTGGTCTCACAGTCTGTGTGTAACTCTCCGTTACCCTACATTTTCC